TGAAAAGGCGAACTCATAAAGCAGAGAAGCGTTATCGTAATCCAATTGACAGTTACAACTGAACCAGAGGAGAATATAGTCTCGACAACGCAGTGGTGGCTCTTTGATTTAGTCGCTGTTACCGGTATGTGCTTTGTACCCTATGATTCGAGTTTCGAACTCCACCACCGCCACCCAACTTTGGTGGTAGGCAGCTTTGCGGTCGTCCGGTTCAATACCACGCCTAACTATCGCGCGGCCCATGGTGGTTCGCCACTCTAAGTCCCGGGGATTAGATTATCGGTCTCCATAACTGAAGAGTGGCTCTTCGCAACTAAGAGGTTCACCCGATTTGCTGTTCATCACACTAAGGTGCGTAATTAAAAAAATGTATTTGATACCAATCCGGAAATTAATTCAAGCTGAGAAAAGTAAAATTTTACTCTTCAAGCTTTTGTGAACTTTTTCACATATTAATCTCGGTGTGAACCTTGAAATATCTTTCATTAAAGACAAAACTATCATCTGTCTGCAAACACAACGGAAGTATTTTCGTCCACCAATTAGCCGCTATCGCCAGTGCCTCTTAAGATAAATTCTCCACATCGAATTTTCCTCGTGACCACAAACTTGCTTCGACTTGCACCTTCTGGAGACCAATTGACAATGCATTTTTCCAAACTTACTCCCAACTCTCAGTTTAGATAGCACCAATTTCAAACGGGGACACTTGATTCAAAATGTGTTCCTCAGAATGGAAACGGAACCGCGTGACAAATCTAAACGAAATGACCAACTGTCTTCAGACTCGTATGGGTTTTAGGTTTATCAATTAGGCATTCGAACCCGGTTCCGGACCTCTACTCACTAAAGCCGATTATCTCTATCATCTGCACTGCTTCTCCAGAAACGCACTGTGCAAACGAAATTATGTCCATGTAGACCAATTTTGCCGGGTGTTGAAATATCTCTCCATACCATGCGCCTGAAATAGGTAGGGTACCAATATAAGAAACTGACGCGCCTTCCCATGTGAATGTTAGTGTTGTGAACTATCGCGCAAGTCAGACTGGTGAAAACAGATGGTACCTGGTATGATGTGAGCGTAGGAACTAGACAAAGGAGAAAGAGGGTTTTCCAAGTCGAAGTAGAATACAAGCTTGAGGGTCCTCGTCCAAATGATTTAGTAGAACAATTTAACCTATCGAAACCCTGACTGGGGAAGTAGTAGAGGAAGTGGACAAGTTTTATTATCTGGGCAGCTACAGTGCGATTGCTCCATCGTTTTCGATCGTCTCCTCCCTCTCACCCGTGACCTCAAGCAAGTAAATTCCCTCTGACGCCTAATGCGATCTGATTGGATCATAGTCCGCGATCTGCGACGCTTAAAATCTCTCCCCCCAACACGAGACTGTCTGATTACCGGCTTGTACATTTTGTAATGCTCTTGTTGTTACGTCCCGTCCATCCGAGTGCTGATGACACTCTTGCTACATAGTCGAAGTTCACTGGGCCTGCCTGAAACTCACAGCTGTAAAAACGGTGTAATTTCTCGCTCGGGTTAGCTTCACTGGGCCAACGCTTGACTCGTCTAAGATACACGCACTATTTTTCGAGGCAGGTTCGGTAAACAGATAATCACAATAAAACTTTGAACTTATCTTAATAGCGGACAACAATATCCCCAATGTAGGCCGACACAAAACTAACCGGCTGATTAGTCAGTGGAAGGTTTTCCTTGTTCCGGTAGTCCATCGTCTGTCGATCGACGATTGGTTGGCGTTGATCGCGATGTACTACCGGAACAAAGAAAACCTTTCACTGACAGTGAAGGAATTCAACGACACTTGTGCAACGAGTGTTACGAGAACCGGTACCAGACGATGAGTCAGTCAGTCAGGCCCATCTACACGATCATCGGAGTGAGATCGAAGCAGGTCAAGCATCGCCTACTGTCCACAGTCGAAGTGATCGCGACTCCGTTGAATCAGCCTCTCCGTGTTCGTTCAGAAACAATCAGTCAGAGCTCTGGATTTACCATGACGCTAGGGCGAGATAAAGCCGGTTACCAACCGAGTGTCAAACGGTTTATGCATCTAATACATTTCACAGTACAAATGGTATTTACAGAATGATTTGGACTCTCATACACCTCTTACTGTATTGTTCATAGTATCCATACACATGCACATTTTGGTCATCCCAGGCGATAGTGAATCCAAGATGTGATAAGCTTTGTCCAGTGCGAGGAAATTAAATTGGAAGAGTAACTAACTTGAACAAACCATGCATTAAGTTTGAAAGTCTATGCATTCAGTTGAAATATATATTTACAGGTAATAACGGTTTTGACTGAGATGAAAATATCTGCTGTGTCAGTCGGTATGAATTGCCTAAAATCCCAAATTCTAAAATGAAATCGGAAGTGCAAAAAATATTTCATAAGTTTGATGAAGTCCGCATTACTTCAGTGATCAGGAATTTAAAAGTTCCCTTTGTTAGACATGTATATCTGAGAAGGCCTAAAAGGACCACCTTGTAGTGCGCATCTTGTTTTGACCCGCAATGTGCGTGAATACGAGTTAAACGATTAGTTTTGTGTGGGCCTACATTACGGGATATTGTTGTCCGCTATTAAGATAAGCTCAAAGTTTTATTGTGATTATCTGTTTACCGAACCTGCCTCGAAAAATAGTGCGTGTATCTCAGAAGAACCAAGCGGTGGCCCAGTGTCATATTCGCTGAAGCATTTTCCATTCGAAATTTCCCACATGGCGCACCGTTCCACAACTGATCCTACTGGGGTGATTCTCTACCAACACAGGCCTCACCAGATTCGGAAGCTATCCTCCTCCTGTGCCGGTCCGAAAATCACACAACCGATCGGGTTCATTTATCGATCGATGGAATGGTTTAGCCGCAACAAGG